CAATCCTCAAGTTCAGCTTGTTATCTGCTGGTGGAGAAGGAGCCCAGCACGGACTATAATCAGTAATATTAACATAAAGCAATTCGCGCTCCTTTAATTGCATTATATTAAACAAATTAGATCACTCATCCAAGTGCAAAGTGCTTTATTGTACAATATTAATTACTAAAAAAGGAGCTGTGACAAAAGTTAAGGATGATAAATAATGTCAGAGCTGAGATTTCTCGGCTCGGCTGTCTGTTATTTATCCTCATTAACTCTTCCATCTAGGCTGTGGGGCTTTAATGTGGAACATTAATATTCATATATGCTAAGTGTTTACAGTCACACTGAGAAGAGGCATGACTCACATTTAGACCTCTGTCATCTTTGTTCAGATAAGGCTCTCCTCTCCACTTTGATGGAGGGCACTCGGCTTTAACCCGCAATGTGAGGGTTTAGTTTGTGATGAAAGACGGTGACTCCACTTGTACTTTCTCACAGAGGAGAAGCACCACCACTTTAAACACATACTCACAACACAACATGACTGTCAAATGGTTGTCTCTGAAATGTCAGTGTTTCTGAAGGGATACTACACTTCTGAGTTTTGGCTGAAGAAGGAAATTCTTGAAACTGTTTGTCAAAAGTTTTAATCACGTGGTTTGAGTCACAGGTTTTCTCCTCACTGAGTTGGGTGCACTCATTACCTCCACCAGGGAGATTATGTCTTCATCTGCATTTCTTTGTCTGTTCTTTGTTTGGTGGCAAGATTACATGAAAACAACAGAACAGATTCCCACAAAACTCAGTGGAAGGATTATAGGACTGGGGAGAACCTATTCAATTTTGTTGCCGAGCCAGATCTGGGGGCGGATCTGTTATCATATTTTTTTTCACTAAGAAAAGCAACATGCTCAGACTCTGTATCTGTGTGCCTGTGTACTTTTGAATTGTTTTTTGGCTACTTTGCAGAGCAGAGCTGTTTTTGAAACATGTCAAAGTACAGTTAAGATTTTCTGAGGTAACATAAATGTACTGTAACTGTGGAACCCTCAACTCTCAATGTTTGTTGAGCGAGGGCTCAGGGGAGCAGGGACACAGTTTTAGAGAAGCCTGGTTCTACATCCGGGATCTTACCTGACTCTTCTGGGCCATAGATGGACGAAGTGATGGCTCCTCAAAAGTGAATCCAAAGGGTCTTAATTGCAACCTGGCAGCTGGCTGCAGTGTTGGTCATAAACTCCGCCTCCTCCATGTTAGTATCAAATTGCACATAAAATTAGTTTTTCAAAAAGATGTCAGTTTAGATATTTGTATGTTGGGGTTAATATTTGTCTCGTTATTTCGGTTTTGATATGTTGCTACAAATGTGTTGAAATCTTGTGATTGACAGCCAAGAATGACTTCTGATTGGTTGAATGTGGGTGTTGCAGGACCATGCACCTGCAGCTCAAGCATCCAATCGCTACTGAACAGATTCTTGCTCCAATTGTGCAAAATGGCAACGTTTTTTTAACCAGGATATCTCAGCTTCTTTTCTTAATAGTGGGAGGAAGTGAAGACATGTCGTCCATTTTTATGAACTCTATGATCTGGGCTAAATTGAAGCTCCAGGCTACATCACCAGTAGTCTCTTAATATCAAATAGCCATTGTCTGATCAAAATTGTGATGAACATAATGGAAAACTACTTCCAGTTTACTAAAATGCTATATGGATGTTCAGGATTCTAAAATATGAAGATAAATAATCTATGTTAATAATTTCATTAATCCTCTAAAAGCAATGTTGCAGTACAACACGTGTTGTTTTTTTCCTGCTAACAAAATTATTTTTAATACTTTGGTGTTGATTTTCTGCCGTTGTGGTTTAACAGTTCTGTAGCGGCAACTAATGTAATTTTCTTGTTTCCTGAAAGACATTAGTGAAGTTTTCTCCGCCCTGCAACCTCAGTTAAAGTCTTGATCTGTTTTTATTTCTTTTTTTCCCCGCACTGTTTGCCTTCACTTTCTTTAATGCCTCAGAATGAGATGAAAGCCCAGTGCAATTAGGCTTCTTATCGTTTTAATTAAGAAAGCCATTCGGCCATATCTGGCTCCAATGCCATAACACATAATGGCAGACAGTCTCTGATGCCTGAAGTAGTATTTGTGTGCATGTGTGTACATACTGTGTGTGCATGTGTCCTAGTAACACAGTTCCAGACAATCTCTCCCGACCTTCACTCTTTTATCAGTCTTCATTCTCCAATCACTATCCCCACTTGTGCCTCTCTCCAAACATGCTGTTCTATCCCTTGTTATTTACTTCGCCTCAAAGAGACAAGGTCAGAGTCCTGTGGAAGTGCTTCAAACTCAGTTCAAGTATGTTGTGTGCGAGTGTTTCTTTCAAACCCCTTTTGTCCGACATAGTCTCAATAATTCTGTTTACTCGCTTCAACATTTGCAGCCAAATGGACATGTTTTATGGTGTTTTTATCTGCTTAAGCTTGTGCATACACACAGACACACACACACACACACACACAGGGCACGATAACAGCTTATCAATGTGCATGTAACCAGTCCCTTTCCCCTCATTTGTGTGCATAAGATGATAGAGCTGCATATACGTTTTTTTCTTCTACCCCTCATCCACATACTGAAGAGAACTACCCTGTTAGTGGTGTTAACAACCAACCAAGCTCCTCCACTCCCCTCCTCTTGCTCTCTCTCCATCCCCCCCTCTCTCCTCCTCTGTTACCCCGGCCTATCAGTGCGGAGCAGTGGTCTGTGAAGAAATTCCCAATATCTAAATTTACACACTGTATCAATCTTGTTTAATAGACTGGAAAGCTTATAGCCGTCGTGGCAAGCCGGCAGAGAGGGCAGCGGTGATAAATTGTCGGTGTGCAGGCGACAGCCGCCCGTGATGTATAATGAAATATTTATGATTTATCCCAGCTAATAAACTGAAATGAAGTGCGTGATGTATGGGAACAGATGGGCCCTCTATTGATGCTGAGGCAGAGAGGCAAGGAGGGAAAGGAGGAGACAGGAAGAAAGGTGGAGATGTGATGAGAGATGCTCCAGACGTAGTGAAAAAAAAAAATGGAGGGTAAGGATGGGAGTAAAAAAAAAAAAAAACTGTGTGTGTCTGGCTGACACTGTGACACTGGAGAATGGGAAGCTGGGAAAAAAAAGTTGACATAAATGTGAGATGGATGGAAGGATTCAGAGTTAGAAGAGAGAACAAATGAGATTAAATGATGGAGAACAAGACATATGGAAGATGGCTGTAAAAACAGACCACTATCAAAATATAATCCTTCTCTTATAAGGCCTCATCGTGTTGAATCCAGGCAAGGGAGGGCCAGTTGTTTTCTTTTATTGAGTCGATATTTCAGGTGCAGATTTTTTCCTGCCCTTTTGTCTGCAGACATGCGCAGTCTAACATTGTGAGAAATGTTCCTGGCAGGGTTGTACCAACGATTTTAGAGATACTGAAACCTCGGGGGAGGCTCTATATAAGAGTGGACTTAATTTTCCTATGTAACTTTTTGCAAAAAAGTGTCAAAT